TCTGAGCTTGATGGCCGCTTGATTACCTTCAAGCCTTTAAGACCCCAGACGCTATACTTTTTGATAGCCGGGCACCATCAGCTTTCTTTGCCACGAGTGCATAAGCAAATGTGGCGAAGAAAGCAGATTTTGTTTTTGTTGCCTTGGCTAAAACTTTTAGAAGTCGGCTAGTTTCTAGTTGGCAGGAGAAATATGAGGCTTTCTAGTCCCCTAAAGAGTTACAGTCTATAATCAATGGCGCTGACATATGTGTAGAAGTTGAATTGGAGAATGTATTGTTGTGTATATTTTTGCCACAATTAAAAAAAATAATGATACAAATAACAATGAGTACAAGGAAGAATAAAATGTTCTTAAGTCGACTGTGGTAATGATCATACAACTATTCTTGACATAATTGAGCAGTTGAATTGTATATGTGAATGAAGTATCAATAAAACTTTAAAAAAAAGAGTTACTGTCTCAGAAACCCACAGGGACAGTTCAACCCTGCATCTACTCAATGGCAGTGAGTTTTTTGAGAGTTGCTAATGTAAGACGTATTTGTAACATTTTGATAGCTTGCTAGGATGTCTATTTCAACTTCTTTAATCATGTCTTCAATGGGAAAATGAACACATCTTCGTTCTTAGCCTTACTTGAACCTTTGTATGGACACCAAAAGTTGTCTGCTTCCATTTCTTTGTGTCAAACAGAATATTCTTTTTTTTTTAGTGAACCAAAGACTTTATTTTTTAAGAACAAGGGTGGTGGGGAGACCCAAAGAACTATGTGGGTATTCATATTTATTGCAAAAAAAGAAAAAAAATTATGGAAATTTCCAAAACAGCAAGAGAGTGAGCAGAATCGCTGATGACATTTCTAACTACACAGACATCGCTGCAGCCGGGGGCTTGATTTCTATGTAAGGAGCGCCTGCAACGATGCACTCTTCACAGGGCCCTGGGGAGTAGCTGTCTTCACTTCTCCGATGATGTCACAGTGGCCGATGCCAGACCTCAGACTCCTTGGAGCAGGTCAGCGCTCCGAGCCCTAGGACCACCGGCTGGGCACAGCTCACTTGGCTTTACAAACATACCACCAGGAACCCGAGAGGACCCCACCTTGAGAGTTAAGCACACCCAATTAAATTCAGCAGGTAAAATGACTCATTTCCTTTTTTTGTCTAAAAAAATGAAAAAAGGAAAAGTGAGAGTACCTCAGCAGATGCAAAAATGCTACTGGCCGTCTGGTGACGGTGAAGGGATTCTGTACCATTCCTCCTGTCACGGGCCCTGTTCAGTCATGCCAACCATTGCTGTGGGGGGGTGAGGGTGGGGGGCTGGGCGTATGGACAGTGGTGTGGAGGATCTGGTGCTAAGGGTCAGGGGAAGGCAGGCCAGAGGGAAGAAGCCAGCTCTGCTCCCCAAGGTCGAGTGCCTAGTGGGTGGGAGTAGTGCCTCCTGGCAATGATTTTTAAAAGAGGTCTAGTTCTTTAATGCTTCCCTCCCCCCCACTATCATGATCCCAATTTTACCTTACAAATCTGGCTTGACTGTAGGATGTACATTGGTACTGATAGGAACTGGAAACACAGGGAATCCAGTATAGATGACTCCTTCAGGATCAGTGGTGAGAGGGGTGATGCCTGGAGGGTGAAGGGAATGTGGGGTAGAAAGAGGGAACCAATTACAAGAATCTAAGTATTGCCTCCTCCCTGGGGGATGGACAGCAGAGAAGAGGGCGGAGGGAAACATCGTACAGGGTAACGTATGACAAAACTGTAATAATTTGTGATCTATGGAGGGTTCATGAAGGAGGGGGGAGGGGCGGAAGGGAGGGGGAAAATGATCAACTGATATTAGGGGTTAGAATGGGAGACAAATGTTTTGAGAGTGATGAGGGCAACACATGTGCATATGTGCTTGACACAATGGATGTATGGATGGATTGTGATGAGAATTGTACAAGCCTCCAATAAAATAATTTAAAAAATAATAAAAATATTATAAATTTTAAAAAGACACCCTTAAAAGAATAAAAAATTCCTGAAAAATATAACTTTCCTCTAGTTTCTAAATGCTTCCTCCCCGCCCCCACTATCATGATACGAATTCTACCTTGCAAGTCTGGCTAGACCAGAGGAT